TACTTTTCCATAAACTTGTATTAATTTGGACAAAAAAAATACCCAATTTCATCTCATCATTCAYCACACCAGCATGATAACTGATTAATGTGTCAATAAGTTACCCAAATACYTAAATGTTCAAAATTTTACATCTTAGGTATCAAAATRAAAGTTTTGTAAGTACATTACCCACAATAAGAATCAARTTAAAATGCGTTRATWTTTCATGCAATTTACCCTRTTATAAACTAAACGACCAATTAACCTTKTACATATTTTCTTCTCTAAAGAAATTAATTAATTATTGTGGGCCCTGTTTTAAAAATAGTTTAAAAAACAAACATATTTCAAATTTTACAAGACGTCGATGTTTGCATAATATCTTTTACCCTTCTATCAATCGTCRGTTTCAAAATAAGTGTTCATATTTCTTATTTATATTTATCCTGAAATAAGTTTTCTATTTTTTTAAATAAATGATTAAAATTTTCAAATCTACCCTTAATTAATGCACAAATATTTAAAAGTAAGATAAAATAGATGTATTAACTAAAAAATGACAAATAATATATATTAAAGATAACAAAATCTAATTTAAAAATACAAATTACAACTGAAAAGATTACAAAAGAAAAAGGAGTTTGAAGAGCAGTTGCAGAACAGCATATAGAAAGCCAAACTTGATGATAAGGAAACAAAACTCAGATCATGTATACCAACCAAAGAAACCTATACTACTCACTTGAAGACCCATCATCATCATCRTTTTCATGATGTGTTATTACCTTCTCTATAAATCTTTTTCTAACTCCTTCAAGAACAGCTTCTCTAGAAGCCTCACCTTCACTCTGACCATCGTTAAGAACCGGATCCGACTGGCACAGAATCAGAGCAACACCTACACATAAACCCCAAAAACACTCAATTGGACCGGATGCGTTTGGTAAGCAGACACGACAGATGAAAGTGAGGTAGATGGGTAAGGAATTGTAACAGGTTTTAATCACACGAGGGTAGTTTAGTAATTTACTTATGAATTTTGTTCCACCTATTTTAACGGGGCTAGACATGGACCATCAAACATGTATGTATGTGAGAACTTCCCCAACTCTCTCTATAAGGGCCCTTTTAGAGTGATATTCAAAGGGTTTTCACGTATCTGGAACTTATCATGAAACATCCTCCGAAAAAAGTAGTATTTAGGACAAGAAATTTTCCATAAAGAACTCGAGACGAATTATAAAGCAGCAAGCAGGAGGAAATAGGTGTGTCAAAAAACGTACCTTCTGGAGTGCATCTACGACCAAAAGTATGTAAACCTACRTAATTTGCCTTCACAGCACCATTATTGTAAACCAACAAAGTGGGAAGATTACAATCTGGATAATTAGGAATGCAGTCGGTCGATATAATTTTAACAAATTTTGTCGCCGGATACATTGTTGCAAGTTCTTCCAGACATTGCATCAGTAATCCACATTCAGGGTACCTATTTAAAGACCAGTATCAGTTAACAAGCATATAACAAGAACGACCTCTGCCCTAAAATAAGTGTCGAACATTTCTATTTTAATTTGTCTCAAAATAATAGTTTATTTTCACAAATAGATGTCTACTTTCCAATTMTACCTTTAATTATAAGATGCATAAATTAATTACTTTCTAAAATTGTAATTTAGTTCATTAAAAAATACATTTCTGAAAATGTGTGCCTTTTTCATTGCGAACATTTATTTTGGGACAAAGTGAGGCAAAGTGAGGCTTTGTTTGTTTTTTCATTTTCAGCTCWTAATTACCACTTATGTCTGATTCGGTCAGATGTTTTGTAATTCAGATTGTTTGTTTTTCTATTATTTTGAGAGCCTCTAATCATTTATTAGGGTATGAGAGGTAAACTAATATCTKAATTCCTCTTATTTCCTCTTTTCTGGTTCTCTTTGGCTATTGTTTCTTTCTCCATCAGGGACGCCACCGTCCTTTCATCACCCATGTGAAATGCACGCTCCCACCTTCTCTCTCTCTCTCTCTCTCTCTCTCTCTCTATATATATATATATATATAAATAATTTTTGTACGTATAGGTTAGCTTAGAAGATTAATGTGAAACAAGAACTTCTATCGACGATCTATCATCTACTAAAAGTATCGATCTTTCCGCAAACAAATTGGCGGCATTCCCGATAGCATCGAAAGGTATCTAAAAGGTTCTTACTATGCATCTRTTAAGTAATTGTTGAGATGAATTTCGGCAATGGAAATTTTATGAAAATCAAGAGGATTTTGCAAATGTTTGCACCTGAGTTTACAAAAACAAACTATTGATTAAGATTTCAGACTTCAAACATTTATTAGTTTATAAAAACAAACAGTCTTATTGATTCAAATTTTAGGCTTCAACACCATCTCTTATAAATCAGAAGTGAAAAAATAATACTTTAGACTTCAGCACCTCTTAGAAAATAAACGCCACCTAAGTATCTTTTTATCCTTATACCAGACTACATCCTACTCCCAAACCCTACCTCTGTGTGGGATTTACTCGGTTAGTTTGGTTTAGAGCAAGCTACAAGCTAACTAATATCAGTTGCTAATAAGGAAGATGATGAAACAATTAACACAATCAAGAGAATTAGAGAACGAACAAATTGATGATAATTACCCGTCTTTGTATAAAATAACAACCACCCACACATCTGTTGGAGCTTGTGATACCTCACGCACAAAATCTGATCCAGATATTGGTACGACTGAACCAAACTTTGCAATTTTYACCATTTGCTTCATCTCTACTAACCTCTTTCTCCTTCAAGAACAACAATGAAAAATACGAATCGAGAAATTAAAAAAAGCACGATCCAATACGTTAAGCTCAAAATGCATAGTTGGTTTTCTCGGGTCCATATTGTCCACAGACTTTGCAACTTTTTGGCCTCGAGATAGTCCTAACCTGGTGGTAAGATAACCCAAAGTACTCGATACACTCGCATGCAATTTCGAAAAGTGAAATCTAATCATGGAACTATATTTTCTCTTCATTAAACTATATACGACAGTTCATGTACTAGATTTGGAAGCRTGGGTCAACGAATGATTAGCTTCATTAGGGCAAACTTCCATGCATACCAGAATAGAATGATGATGTGGAAAACACTGGCTTTCGTGCTTTCAGTATGCAGGACATGACGGGTGCGACATTTAGACTGGGACAGGACGAGAATACATTTTTATACAATAGGTGGAACAAAAATCAGGGAKATGAAACAAGATTGGTAAATTACTAAACTACCAGTCAAATTAAAACCCTAGAAGCTTCACGTTATTTCACTGCCTACCTCACTCTCCACCACCCGGTCTTGTTCAATCCCATTTGCATACCAAATGCACTTAAAAAGATCAAGGTGTGGCCCTTTCTCGGRAAGGGGTGGCAACTTTCTTCCATTTTATTTAGTGTAAATGGACCAAGGAGGGCAACTACTAAAGGCGATCTCAGTTGAAAACAAGGTCGATTGGGGTTAAGGAATATACAACGGAACCCTAGTCCGGTAGTCCCCTAGCTTGGAAATCGAGCAATCAAGCTTAAGATTTGACCTAAATTAGCCTTGATTATTCAAGCTACAAACTCCATGGTCCCAGATTTTGGTAAATTTTTGTGAATCATAAGAATCACATGTCTAAGTTTCTCTACCAGAAAAGCTAATCCCCTACTAAAATGAAAAGAAAACTCGGTAAACATACTCAGAATTGTATGAYTTCTATGTACCTGTATTCTTCTAGGAATCGATCGTCATCCAGATCATCTTCTAGATCTTCGAGTTCCTCTTCAGTCTTGTTATCGATCCAAGTTTTGTTTTTAGGTTTCGAATCTTCGTCTTCAGCAGGAGCAAAAGGATCGGGTTTGAAGGCTGGAGGTTTGGGAGGCAAATTTCCGAGCTTTCTTTGAATATCATCCCATTGTGTTGATGCTCCTTCAACATCTTTGTATACAAAGTGATAGTCCGCCATTACTGTTAACCTCTTTCAATAGTTGCCTCTTGATATTTCTTCTTCAATCTTCAGGATAAGTCCCAATGAAAAATGATTATCATATTAACCCTTTTTAAAGCAAAAGCCTAGGAATCAAAGAACCCACAAGCAGCAACATACACAGCAATAAGTTTAACTAATGATGATTGAACATACTTTGAAATTATCAAGAAAGAACTGATCTCTGGAAGCAAAAATCAAAAAGAAGAGCAGAGAAAGGGGATGTACAGATCGAGAATTATTCTGCTGATTGACAAAAGACAACAGTGACAGTCAGGGGCTGTTTACAAAGAGATTTGGATAAGCGTTGATAGATTAAGAGCTCTATTTGGAGTAATTGTTGCCTGAAAAATGTTTGTTTACCAAATGTTCTATAATAAGAACTACCTGATAGAAAATTATCATTTTAACTCTCTAAATGATTGTGTTGAATGRAATGTAAAAATTTATCTGAATAAGGCTATGTTTGGAAAACTAGCTAATAAGCCGGCTGTTAGCCAATAAGCTAGTATAAGCTAGCTGTTAGCTGATATGTATTAATAAACAATAGTGATTTAATAGCAATTAACATCAATTAGGGGTATAATTGGAGGAAAGTGGCAAAGAAACTCTAGCTTATGGCCATTCAAAAATGGTTATTTTCAATAAGCTCAAAAGATAGTGAAGCTTATGGTTCCAAACATGGCCTAAGTGTTGAATGACCGAAAGTTAYGATTTTCATAATTTAGATATATTTAGACAAGAAAATACATTGAAATTCATTCATACTTCAATTTCAATATGAGAAATTCTTTTCAATTTTCGTAACAAAAAATACTCAACATCAACAGAATAAATGTATTYGTAAGTTGTACTAGACTGCCTATCAAGAACCCCGCATTCAAAATCTATACAAAGTAGAATCCAGTTACCCAGATCAACAACAATGGCGTCAAATAAACATAAATTACGTCAAATTAGAGTGTTTTTCAACAAATATTTATTTCATAAGATAAGAAAGAATACACATGATTCACAGATAGTATGAATCAGGTAGGTTATCAACAATTAGATGGATTTCTTCACCAGTAGATGGAAGGCTTAAATCTAAGGCAATGAATCAATGAAATCGAATCAGAAACGAAATTTATCATCAAATCAAAAACATCGACTCTAAAATAAAACGTGGACGCAAAGAATTTACCTTCAATTCCGTGGATCTGAAACTCGATGTCGCCCTCACCWACTCTATTTCGTATAAACCCTGTCGTGAAAAAATGGGTACTCGTTTTCCTAACTCGGGTTAGTGAGAGAGGGGTACTCATCCACAACTAGTAATTTAAAAAAAAAAAAAAATAAATAAATAAATAAACACTATCCTTGCACGAGGGTGGTGTTTGATTGTCCAGAGGTCTCAAGTTCAAATATAAAAAGAAATAAAAATTCTCTTGTGGTCATAGAGGTTTAAATGCAGTGACTTCAGGCTATCCGCAAAGCAAGTGATCGCCTTGAGATTAGTTGGCTCGTATAATGAGTTAGATATCTAGGTTAATAAAAAAATACAAAAAAAAAATTAGTTATGTAAGTGGGATAGAATTAGTGGTGACGTGACCCGYCTCGTTGGGTATCTGATTCATCTGTCCCGTTAGGCTTCAGGGATTTTTCGTAAAAACGTGTATGAGGTCCATCTACAAGGATCCTCGACGTGTCCAAAACCAAGCTAGGGTTGGGTAATGTATTTCCCAACCAACCCGGTCCTCATATGTATATATATTAGTTAAAGTTGTTTTTYTCAAGAGTAAATTACATGTTTCGTCGCCATGGTTATAATTTTTTAACGGTTTTTGTCCTTTTTTTAAAATTTAAAGAATTTTGTCCCTATAGTTGCATTTTTACTATAAGTTGGATGGTTAATGCAACCATAGGGAAACAAGTCGTTGATTTATTTAGGGATTGAACTCATTAAAAAACTGCAAYCACAGAGACCYAACTCATTAAAAGAATACAACAACAGAGATATAACTCGTTAMAAAAYGCAACCACAAGTATACGTTCCGTTAAGTTTTCAATAAAATGACAAGGGCCATTAAAAACATCTAACCATAGGAACAAAACATGTAAGTTGCTCTTTTTTAAATATATATATATTATATTTTTCAAATATTTTTTATAAATTTTTGAACCATTTTTTTTTAATTAAATCAAGGATAAATTAGGAGTGGAACAGAGATAGACCCAACAAAAAAATGAAAAAGATTTGGTTCTCCATACCCGTTGAAGACAAGATGAGGCRGTGTAAATGCATTCCCCGCCCTATTGTCATGTGTAGATAGGATATAAGATTTTATGGTGATAATGGATGATTTATACATTTTTTGTTAGAAAAAA